ATCTGTAACTTTCACTCTGTGCATCTGAAGAAGTGAGGTTTTTACCTACGAAAGCTTATGCCCAAATAAATCTGTTAGTCTTTAAAATGCCACAGACTCCAGATTAGGCCAAAATTCCAAACATTCATATTTACCACAATGGATCCAGGCAGTTGTAAGGTCACTGGTGGTTCACTGGACAGAATGATAAATTCTGGCCCTGAAAACTGGGAAGAAGCAATTTAGAAAGTTAATAAAATGATTCATTCATATTCTAAAGATCCCAGCTCTCTTTCTACACACACCCAGCAAAGCAGGGACATGAACCTGGCTCTTCTACATTACAGGTGAGTCCCTGGCCTCCAGGCTATTGGCTATAGTAGGGAGCAGCTTGCTCCCTCATTTTGCACAAGAAAGCACCAGTTTCATCCTGTTGCATAAATGGAAAATTTTTGAACTCTCAAAATTATCTGTAGGCTGTGAAAGCCCTGCCGAGCGCTATCCTTTACTCCTCCAGCGGCCAAAAGGGGTGGGACCACCTGAGGCAACCCTAGGTCTCCCACTCCTATCCAGAGAAGCACAATAGCTTTTCTATCTTTCCTTCACTATTGTTTTATACTTATATTGTCAGCTGTATGGGGCAGAGAAGCTTTTTGTGCTATGTATGGACAGCACCTAGCGCAGTTGGGGCCAGTCCATGACTGGGGGCTCTGAGGTGCTACTGTAATATAAACAGTAAATAAATAATATCTTGCCCTGCCCATCCACTTCACGCTCCCTCTTTCTTTTCCCTTGCAAAGTGTTTCATTGTGCGATTATTGGATTCCAATTACGAATCTGACCGCCCCCCCCAAAAGGTAACAGTATTAAAATCTAAATTCCCCTGTAGAACAATTATTTTTCTCTCTCTAACAAGCTCCAAGTATGGATGTGCGTGGCTCTTGATCTTCAAAGCCCTGCCACTGCTCAGGCCCGAGATGGGCAGGAATTTGAATTCTCTGGGAGCAGCAGCACTGATTTGAAAGACAGAAGAAAGAGGACAACAGCAGCAGCCCAAGGGGCCATGCAGGCAGCAACAAACTTGAGTCACTTAGAGGAAGACGGGAAGAGTGGACCTGGCATGAAAGAAATAAAGTGACCTGAAAAGAGAAGCGTGTTTCCCAGCTCCACAGAAATCTGCTTGCCAGCATCTCTTGCTGCAGCATTATGCAAACAAAACCACCCAAATTAAAATAGCGAAAAGCTCCTCTCTCTGTGTGCACATGCAGCTGGGCGATTAACAGTTCTGGAGGCTGACCCCCTCTGCTCTCCGTAGCACAAGGATACCACCCTCAACCACAGCTGAGGATGAAAGGAGAACTAAATCCCAATGGTTCATTTATTCCTTGGCTTCTATGCTCAGACTGCTAAGCAAGTATCACCAGCCCCATTTCACAGACAGGACATTCACAGCCACAGGTTATACAACACCTTAATGGTGGCACTACCAATAGCTCCAAGCTCACCTGACTATCCCATCAGTGTGTTAACTTCTAGGCTATGCCTTCTGCCTTGGTGTATATTGTAAAAGAAGAGCAACATGGGACTGTTCTAAAGCTGTTTGATTCCTATTGACTGCAATGGGCTTTGGATCCAGCCCTTCTCTGATATGTTGAAGGCACAGCTAAGGTGACTAATAGAAACACCCCTTAGTATGCATTAATGGTCACAGAAAGCATGACTAGAACCCCAAGTGGAAAATTTGGCCTTTTAAGGTTCAGTCCTACAGCTCCTAGTCCTTATGCAGACAAAGCTCCCATTGATGTCTCTGGGAGTCTGACTGCCGGACTGAGCTCTTTATCACACCCAGATCCTATGGTGCCCTTTCTGGGCTCAGCCATGCTGATGAGCTGAGTCAGCTATCCAATAGACCCTACACCGCTGGGGGCAGGTATCTGTGCGGGCTTTACATTTTGCAATCAGTGCGCTCATTGTCACTAATCACCTTTTCTTTTCTTTGGAACAAGCACCTCAGAGACGCAGCAGCTGCTAATGAGTCCTTGGCAGACACCGAGAAGGTAGAGCCTAACTTCAGAAGGTTGGGCTTGTCGTTCTTCTGAGTCCCAGCAGGGATTTCATCCACAGCACTTGCTGATCTTCAAAGGAGTGAGCAATATTTCAGATTGCGAATCCAAAGCAACAGAGAGTTTAAAAGTCTTTGAGTGGCACTGGCTTACGCAATAAAGGACAATCTCCATGATCTACATGGCATGACCCCTACAGAAAAGTGTTATACGGATAAAACTGTGAAGGTTCTACAGAAATTAATCTAAAAGCCTATAGGATTTAAACAGAGGATGTGTTCCTTTCTATACTGCCTGGGCCAGATCCTCAGTTTCTGAAAATCAGCACAGTCCCACTGAAGTCAGTGAAGGTATTGCCAATTTACATCAGCAGAGGATTTGGCTGCAGGTTGTTTGAATTATCCTCAAGAACCTACAGCAAGGATGACATTTTCTATTAAATTCTACAGGGTGGTTAAAAAACAACAGGGGAAAGGGTACCATTCTTCATTACTTTCTATAGGCTATTTTCAGGATGGGAGGCTTTGAATCTAATCAAATAATTGAGGTTTCAGACAATCAAGGGGATTGTCAGTGTAATTAACAGATGTTGAGCGCTGCGGAAAATCAAGATTCAGATAATGACAACAATACTGGAGATTTAACCCTTAAAACACTGATGTCGTCCACACTGCCAGACAAATGTACACTTAGCAGAAATATATAATGCATATGCACTTATATATAGGGAATGGCCAATGGCAAGCTGCAGGTATGAAGGTTTTGCTGGCATTAGTTTGGGTTAGTTATGTTATTAACAAATGACAAAGTGGTGAGTGAGCTATGCCAATCATTCCAAACTTCTATACCCACCATGCTATCATTTATTCTGTATATACCACGTGTATTACAGCAAATCTATTTGAGAGATGTTTCGGAAGGTTTTTAAATGTTTCCCTGAGAATATTTGTTGTATCTTGCTGCCTGGTAGGTATCTTTTTTACCATCAGTCCAGCCACAGAGGGAGAGAAAAATTAAAGCCAATGACCTAAAATAGCTTTTCTAGACATAAAAATGTCATGAGTTTGAAGCCCAATGCCAAGCATAGTGGGTCCAGTGGGAAGATGAGAATCTCTCCTTGCCCATGGGAGAAGGCTGCCATTTCTCATCCTGCAGGGGGTGAGATATCAGACTTCAAAGCTGTGACAGGCTCCAATCCTGCATACACTCGTGGGCATGCTTCATTTGAATACCCTGAGTAGTCCCACTGAAGTCAATGTGGTAAAGTTAAAACACATCCTATGGGCCTTCAGGATTAGAGTCATAGATCGTAAACCCATCATGGGCCCAGGACGCTATATTGCCCGTCCAGGCCCTGGACCTTAGACCATAGTCATTTGAGAAATGATTCCACCTTTGGGCAGAGTTGACAACAAAAGTGTCAGCATGTTGACTTGGAACGCCCTGGCAGGGACAGTTGATTGGGCAGAGGGCCGGTGAGGTGCTCAAAAAGCACATGATAAATACACTGATCAATTTAACATGTGACTATCACCTCTACATGATACCAATTCTCCACAAAAAACACTGTCGTCCTGGGGCATGAACTGCAATGATTTCTTACTGTACGTACAGGGGAACATGGAGTAGCTCACAGCTCCGGTAATTGTGGTTAACTGTTGGCTGTTTTATAGGAAGTTCAATCAGTTTACTCAGGACGTGGTTAATGGAGAAATCTAAATGCAGCACTTCCCATGGTTCTGAATTAAGTCAATCATGCTTGATGGCAGAAACTCCTGTTTAACTGGGATAAGAATTCCGCTTAACTGGGGTACCTATCATGGATTAAGAGGTAGGTAAATAGGGGATTCTGGTCTTTGTGATGCTCAGAGGCTAATCATTCTTAGGCCTTGTCTGCATTTGGAATTAGCCCCAGCTGCAGTTGCAGCATGCTAGCCCCCTGCTTTAGACATCCCAAGATAGGGAGAGGTGCAGCGTACTCTGTTTTCAAAAAGGAATTAGCTCCAGTGATGCAAATCACAGCATCCCCGGTCTACACTTGGGGTTTGCACTGGAGCAGTCACAACTGGCTGCTGGTCACCCATGGCTAAATCGAGGCCAATCCCCCAAGTAGAGACAAGCCCCCTAGCTTTCTGTTGGTGGCATCTGTCGGTTACCTTTAACTCTTTAGTGATCCAAGGGGGTTGAACTAGTGACTCAGTCTGAGAACCTATAGGAAAAGTTAAACGTTACTCTGAAAACCATGTACTGCAAACTTGGCCTTCACCCTTACTCAGGAAAACACCTCCTGAAGGGAATCAGGGGTTTTCTCTGAGGAACGACCAAGCAGGAGTGCAGTGAAGTCTTCAGGATTTGGCTCTAGATGAACAGTGTCTGCTACCACGTGGCTAACTAATCCAGTTGCTCTCTATAGTTTCACATCAGAGCACTGGCACACTAGATCCCCTGTGCCTCCTGCAGTCATAAAAAGGCCCATCTTTTAAAGACAAAAACTTTACTGATTACCTGTTAATGAAGAGCTTGTAGCTACTGTGTGTCCTCGACCCACTCAGGTTTGGGTCCCACGCCTGCTGTGCTTGCGGAGCTCTCCCTAACGTTAAATCAAGAGAACAGCACAATCACTGTCACTGAAGCAGCGCCAAAGGTGGCAAAAGCTTGCTTTACATAGGGATGGGAGGGGGAGTAGGGGTGGGTGCTCTGCCTAGGGAGCGAAGAGGGGAGCTACTGAGACTCGGTGGGGTGGGACAGTCGGCTCCAGGCTGGGAAAGGGGTCCTTGCGGTTCATGTCTCGCTTTTGCCAGCCACCAGATGTAGCTGCTCCCAGCTCCAGCCCAGTCATCCCGGTTCCCACCTGCTCCCCGGCCCAATCACAGGCACCATGGTGGCTGCTCCAGCCCCTCCACGTCCAGCTCTCACTTCTATCACCCTCCTACCTAGTGCATGTATTCATTCCCAGAATGCAGCAGAACAACACATGTGGGTGGAAACATAGATCTGCCCCCTCCCCAATATTTCCATTGTGAGGTCACTAGCCCCAAATGCTCCCCAGTTCTGCCTCCCCTGAGGTGCGCACAGCATTAGATCCTGGGACAATATGGCAGGGAGAAGATTTGGACTGGCTGTCCCGTATCCTTGTTTGGGGGACATAATAAATGACTGCATGACAGAGCTGGTTGAACACTGCATTAACAGCGTCCGTGAATAATCCTTCGTATTGGGACGGGCTGTTTGGTTCAGCTATGTCTGAAGCTCTTGTTACAGAACTTTGGAGTTGTGCTCCGGCTCCTCTCCAGCTCCAGGCAAAAACCTGCAGCTCCGGAGCTGCTCCGCGCTCCAGCTCCGGGCTCCGCACTCCAGCTCCAGGCTCCGCTCCAAAGCCCTGCCTTGTTATTCACTGTTCATGGACGTTCAGACAAATGAGTTTGGGGGAATGGCTGTTTGTGTGTGAATCCCTATATTTGCATGAATATGAGGGTCCTGTGTGCAAACAGGAGCATTTATTATTCCACTGATAGTTCTTATTCTTCTGTTTAAACGTTTTCCAGTCATCCGATCAAGGAAGAGAAACAATATTATGTGACATAAGTCGCCAATCACACCCCAGCAATACAAAACAGCTGAAGTGAACTATTTACAGGATATTTGGCCAATAGTTTGCAGAAACGATTTGGTGAATACTTCTGAATAACTAATACAAGCACAGAAACCAGGGTTTGTTGGGGAGTGATTTGCAAATGGAAATGAGCTAGAGACGAGCAGGGTCTAATTCCCTCCAATTACGGGGGAGCTAAAATCAGGTGCAGAACCAGAAATGAGTGTTATTATTGAGGCCTCTTTCTAAATAGCAACACAAAAATACAATGCTGGATTCCAATAAAAGAGCTGCCATCTGAAGCATTAAAAAAAACAATAACTCAGAAATCTACAGTTAACTTCTGTTAAATAAATAAAGCTGAATAGTCACAAACTTTGTGGAAGTTTGGCTCTGAATCCAGACACAAACTCTGTGGGTCCCTCTACACTGCAATAAAAAACCCTCGGCACCAAGACTCAGAGCTTGGGTCAGCTGACTCGGCATTGTGGGGCTTGGGCTGCAGGGCTAAAAATAGCAGTGTAGACCTTCAGGCCCAGGCTGGAGCTCAGGCCCCCTTGCAGGGTCTCAGAGCCTGGGCTCCAGCCCAAGTCTGAACATCTACACTACTATTTTATAGCCCTGTAGTCTGAGCCCCTAGAGTCGGAGATAACTGACCTGGGCCAGTCACAGCCGTGCTGCGGGTCTTTTATTGCAATGTGATTCTTAGTCCCTTGATACACAATACTAACTATTCAAATCTTGTGGAAACCCAGATGCAGTAGGGTAATTGACATAGGATCCATAGTGACAAGTGACTGATTGAAGACCACTAGGTATTAGCCCAAAGATGCTTTTCTAATGAAAATCTGAGCCAATCTCTCACAAGACAGGTCATATCATTTTAATTAAGAAAATTAATTGCTTAAACATAAGCCTGGTGAACAACAGCAACAATGGCAATATGCAAAAACAAATGAATACGTAACTATAAAAAAAGAGACTAAAGAAATCAGTGTATTTTCTCAAACAGCAGATGGCAGTATTGCAAAGTCAGGCTCTTTGGGTGACTCGGCGGTGAAGATGCTGGCAGTGAGAAATGAGAGGGTGTGACACATGCCTGATATCAAGGCCAGATCCTACTCTGATATCAGTTAACATAGGCCTATTGAAGTCAACATAGCTGTGTCGATGTACACCAGCTGAGGTTCTCAGGAGGGCACATGTTTACACTCCTTTCTGATAAGACAGCCTTGCAAGTCTCTACTCCCCTAGGGCAAGTTACCTGTATGTATTCTTTGACAAGCACTTCAAATACCCTTAGCTTTTCATCATCCTGGTGGGATGACCTGACTAGTTCACAGGCCTCGATGCCATACTTTTAGCACTAATCAAGCCCATTCCTTGTTCTGCAACAGCCTTCCAGTAGGAACAGTGCGGAGAAACAATTTATCAAGAGCCATCAGAAAACGAGTTAAATTTATGAATGGGATTATATGATGGGGTTGCTTGTGATTGGGTTCGATGACCCAGGAAGTCCCATCCAGTCCTATATTCCTGATTTAAGACTAGCATGTGGCTCCTGAAGAAGTTGCTTCCATGAACAATGAATTTTTAAATGCAAATGAGCTTCCAGAATACATGCTGGAATACTAGCAAAGATCACTGAGGATATGAATCTCCCTTGATCATAGTGGTCTTTTTCTGGACTGTAATAGCCCCATGGGGAGGAGAATGTCTTTTTTGGATATATTATCCTGGGAAAGGACGGCTACGGTGAGAAAATTCTCCGAGTCTACTTGTGTTACTTTATATACTGTATTTTTAGGGCCCGCTCCTGCAAAGTACTGAGCACTCTCAACTGCCATGGACTCAACAGGAACTGAGTGTACGCACCATCCCACAGGACTCACCCTTGATTCTGAGCATTACAGCCAAGATTTTCAAAAAGGGGTTAGCCCCTAAATCTATATTCAGGCACCTCGATAAGTAGTGGCTCCCACACTGCAGCATCCATGGTCTGTTGTAGGTTTATATTGACTACAGTTTTGGAGCTTTAAGTATCCACCTCTGTTATAGGAAGGAAGGATCTTTTTTCCCCCTTAGTGATGAGACAAGAGGTGGATTCTGTGCTGCGCATCTTAAAGGTGCACCCAGAACTCACAGCCCAAGGAGTGGGAGGGGGGCTAAGGGGGCATTAAGACCCCTTTACACCCTCCCAGACCTGGGCTGCTCTGGGACCTGTAACAACTCCTGGCCCAAGTTAGACAGTCTGAGGCCTGTCTAATTGTGGGCAGACCCCTCCGGCTACCCTATGGGCCTCAGTGCTACCCCAATGCCTTCTCCCACTCTCAGCCCCACTCAAGACAATCTGCTGTCTAAGGCAAAACTTCAGTGGGCCGCTCCCCTCCTACCTGCCTGCCTCAGCTCAGCCACGGCAGTCTCTCTGCCCATTGCTGATTAACAAATCCTATTGCACCGCTGCCACATAAAGGAGAGCTGTGCCACCAGACTCCCTCCTCCAAGAGCCCACTGCAATCCGTAGAAGTTTGTCACCAGTCAGGCTGGGAAGGGCCTCTCCAAGACACTATTCCCCCTGCCCTGGAGTGTCCAGCCCAGCCCATCAGCACAAATGTCCTTAAATTAGAGCTGAGTTGCTGTGTGTGTTATCAGCAAGGATGCATGCTGCAGGCTGCTCCCAGTTTGCACCACTGCTCCGTGCAGGCGGCTCCGCTCTAAGCTGTGCCCCGGGGGTAGGACTGAGCAGGTCCAGGGAGATCAGAATTTGGGGGCTCTCCCAAATGACCATGGTGCTGAAGACTCTGAGCCAGCTCTGACCCCCTTACGGCCAGCTCCCAGGAGCAGTTCGCCAGCAGGGGTCACACACGGCAGCCCTCTGACTCTAGTGGGGTCAGGATTGGGCCCAGAGCCACACTCAGCAGCTTGACCTCCTCTCTCCCCCAACAGCTAGGGTCCTGGAGACCCCGTGTACCTGCCTCAGCCACCCGCCCCAGTCAGTTCCGCTCAGGGCAGGAGCAGATTGTTACACACACATGCAGGCTCTTCAGCCTTAACATTCAGCTTGTTCTGCAGCAGGCCCTCTGTCAGCCTGTGCTCTGTGGTTGGCCGGCCTGGTTTTCAGCATGCTTGCTTCGGGGGGGTGACTGCTGCAAGGAGCTTTTCCCCATTGGGGAGTGGGACAGCTCCGGCCACCTGGGCTGAATGGGAGAGTGAAGAGTGGCCGCAGGGCAAGGGGGCATGAAGGGGACGGAGATGACAGGGGAAGGAAGGGAGGTATGGGAAGGCTAAAGAGGGAAAAGGGCCGGTGGGGAGGCTGAAGGGGAAGCCGGGATGTGTGCGGGGGGGTCCCCAGCCCAGCCCGCAGGCCCTGTCTCATGCAGCATTCAGCACGCTGGCAGTCACCAGCACTTAAAATCTTTATTTTTACATAAAATGTTCATCTGTGGCTCTGTCAGCACCGAGCAAGCGAGAGACCCAGCTCAACTCAGGGTGGAGGAAGGGAGCAGCTTCTACTATTTCAATTGCCTTTTACGCACGCAGCTCCCCCTACACCTCCACACACAAAACAGAACCAGCAAAGTGGTTTCGATAAAATTTCGGGATCAATCAACTGGTTTTTGCATGTTTGCTGGCACAACGTTGGCCGTTCAATACCTTTTCTGATTTCTGCTCAGAGGGAAACTGGAAGTCAGTCTGGAGGTGACCTACTGCAAGGATAAATCATAGTAACAATTTCAAAGTAGAAATTTGAATAGTACCTCTCCTGCAGCCCCTGTTTGACAGTATCAAAGATGCGCTCTCCGAAATGCTGCTGGAGTCACAATAATCCACAGAGAGTTGTCTGTAATCCTCTGCCGACTGACTATAATTCAGTAACCTGGCCCCTGTGTTTGGAAACAGAAAAGAAGCCTGGTAAATCACCATATTCTCTTTTGACTCTAAAATTGCTGTATCCAAGTGCTCGCTTAGCTATCGCTTGGTCTTGGCTCACTTTAATCGAGTCGTCTTTGCTGTTGAATGTCTTGAGTGCTTTTCACTTCCATCAGGAAAGCATTCACCAGCCCTTAGCAGAGCTGCTTCTCTTCCCTCGTGCTTTTTAGAGCCCTACTCTGACAGAAAGCAGTCCCTACAGCCCCTTCAGTGATCCCAACCAACATGAGCCTAATGTACACATTATTTCCATCAAGTTTTAATTGAAAAGTGTCAGGAAGGTTCAGGTAGCCAAGGAGCAAGTTCTAGCTATTTCTGTCCTTCAAAGTCACATGTCCGAGAGACCCCAGCTATCTCCTTCAGGAGTGCTCCACATTGAGTGCCAAGATACAGATCCACCATACAGTGCAACTGCAGCAATTCCCCAAGAATGGTGACCCAAAACATCATGAAGTTGCAGCCCCTCTCTTTGCTTCTATTATATCTTACCCCTATCCTTTTCCCGGGCCTTACAACTTGGGGTGGTAATTTTTAAAGTGGAAAAATATTCAATGAAATGCATCCTCAATAGAAAATGCACCCCGAATGTCCACACTTTAAAATAACAAAGGTACTGATATAGCAAAGCATTCAAGCAAGTGTTTAACTTTAAGCATGTGCTTAATTCTATTGAAGTCAATGAGACATAAGCATGTGCTCACATGATTTGCTGAATAGAGACAGGGCTACTCGTATGTTGTGCATAAGAGCTTGCTGAATTAGGGGCAAAACCAGGACAGAAATACACTGATATTAACTTCTGCTGAGGTGAACATCAAGATTTATTGACCTGAGAGGAAACAAAAGGACATGAAGCCGAAGTCAATATTTATCTTGCAGCAGAGTTTTACCCGGAGGGCCAATAACATCTTGAAGTTCAGTTAAAGTGAATCATGAAGTCAGGATGGATTGCTGCGTACATTGTGACCAGGGATCCAAAAGCATGAACCCCGCTTGCCTTTCTCAGGTGGGTTGTCTAGTTGGCTACAGTAGGGCTGCCTCCATGGATATGATGAGCAGAATTTGGCCTTGTTTCTTAAAAGCACTCTAGGAGTAATAAAAGTAAGAGTAAAAAAAATCTTTTTGAAAGGAAGATGTATGCTGACCTTTACTGGGCTATTCAAGAAGGAAATATGTGAACATGCTCTTGAAATGGCTTGAGCATGAATTCAGGGGAAACTATTCTTCACCTTTGAGCATTCAGTTGGAGACAGAGTACCAAAACAATTTTTTTTTCGTATAGTGTCTTTCATGTGGACTGTTTTAAGGAGTTAAATATATGCATGCTGATCCATTAACATTGCTCCCTAGCCTTCAGATCACAGTCCTTTGAACCTGTAAGCAGTGAAAGTCTTGCTGAGTTGTCATAGATTTTTCTCCATCATACGCTCATTCAGACGCAAAGCAGTAAATATCATATTCAACTCTACATATAATTGACCCAACATAATTTGAAACAATTCACCTGGCCTGGAAGACCCCCTGAGAAGCACAGTGTAAACCAGAATCCTTTACCTTGATGAAAATTCAGCTGGGAGGGCAATGCTGAGCTGTCAGATGCTTTCCCGTGCAGCCTTTTCCTTATCACATGGCTTCTGTTCAGGTGGCTGTCTTCAGTGGCTATCTGCTCTACCTGCAAACCAATTGCACTGCAAGTCAATGTCAGCAGACCAGGGGACTTCAGACCTTCATGAGGAAGTGCTCCTTGCCCTCAGCTTGGCCTAGGCTCATCAGTGACACTGTATGTGAGTGTGTGTTAAATAAATGATACCGCCTATTGGGGATGGAAATAAACTATTTGCAAATGGACTATTGGATTATTATTAACTAGAGCTGATCAAAAAACAGGGGACATTTTATTTGAAAATCTCATTGACTTTCTCTTCCATTTTTTCCCAATCAAAATGTCAACAAAAGTGCTCCCTGAAAACGTAAATTCTTGAAAACAATTTATCAAGCTTATTTATTAACACCACCACCTTTCAGGCTTGATTGTGCCTTTATGGCCCAGCCCCACGGCAAAGGAGGTGCAGGGAGCTCACACATATTGTACCTGATATAGGTAGGATGTCTTTGAGCTCGTAGAATGACATAAACCAGAGTGGCAAGTGGAAACTCTTAATACAGGGGGAGCATGCTCTCCTCTCTCGTGAAGCCAGTTCCATTGGCCAGTGTGAAGTCTCACAGCCTGTGGAAAAGCTACTATCACTGTGGCATTAGCCTGGAGCATGAAGTCTGGGCAATGATCCCATGGAGATTGGATTTGTATCTCTCTATGCGTGGAGGTACATTGTATGGGGAAGTCTCTTTGCCTCATCCACATGGGCACACACCCACACAAGGCCACTGTCAACTGCTCTAGAGGCAGTCTCCCAGAGGTCCCAGCATTCTCCTAACTAGTCTCCCTCTATTCATCTCAAATTAACCCAATCCATCAATTTAACATAAAAATCAGTCAACCAGCCCTAAAACTTCAGGGCTTGCAATCTTCCTTTAGTATCCTGTCAGCCTGGCCTGAGACTCTTGTCCCTATGCTACTCCAGGCCTTTCTGCTTCCCTATCTCACTCTGTTCTCCTTACTTTATAGCAGGGCTTGTTTTCCTTATTGGTCCCAGCTGTGGCTGCATGCCACCATGATTGGCAATGCTGGCAGCTGTGCTGGGGTTGCCTGAAAGTGGGGAAGATGCTCCTCTCCCTTCTGCCTATGCCCAGATGGGGTTTGTAAACCCCAGGACAGCCACATAATCTGGTTTTTGGGAAATTAGAGCCAGTTCCTACTTCCTTTACTCTCACAAGTATTCCCTCTGAAATACAGTGGGGTTACTTGAATGGGTAAATCCAACAGGATGTAGCCCATAACCCACAGCACAGTTGTTTAAAGGTACTTAGCTAGTCTTAAAAGTCATCCAGCATTCAAGGTTTTCACCATGCTCTGGGCTGGGGCTTTTACATCTGATAATCCTAGGAGTGGTAATATTGCAATCCTGGGACTGGGGCCATGGCATCCCAATGTTGACAATACATTGTATTCCTAAAACGTAATGGTATCTGGGTATAATTTTCAAAACTGCCTAACTCTGTGACGTAGGAGCCTAAGTCCCATTGATTTTTCAGGTGCTTTTGGAAAAATTCATCCCTGCTTCCATGGTGTCAAAAATATGTAGAAGCCTAATAGAAAAATGCAACCTAAACACTGAAGAAAGTACATGCACCATCTTCCATGGTACAAGAGTCACTCATTTCAAGCCATCATTGACTTTTCACAGGCTGACTTGCTCTCAAATATTCTACTCTACTGTCCATACTCCCTGCCCCGCCAAAAAAAACCCAACCAGGACTACTATAGTATTGTCACTGCTGGGAAATAAAAGAGGTACTGACCTCAGTGATGCTTCCTAGCACAAATTTGACCATTCTCTGGATGTAAACACTTGCAGGAGAAAAGGAAGATTCCTTCTGGTGCACTTCACATGCCTCCAAAATGGATTCTGGGGAAAGTCTTTTATGCGGCAGATCTTCACACAGCTTTAGCAGCAGGGCATGTAACTGATCACTCAGCTGAAGGGACTGAGACAACAGGAAGATAATGGTAAATAATAGCTCTCATTTAGATAAAACACTGTAAAATGCTCCATGAACTTGGGCTGGAATTTTCTGAAGGACCTTTGAGTTTCAATGAGAATTCACTTAATTCCCTTAGCCCCTGGGAAATCCCAGTCTAGATACATAGAGTACCACTGAAATGAAGCCACCCTGGTAAGGAGGATGTCACTGAAGGTAAATGTCAGATATTATGATTCAGAACAGTGCATCGAGGGGGAGATGTGGCTACTGACAGCCACTGTGGCTGCTCCACAAATCTGAATTTCAGATCATTCATTTTTAATATCTCATCCTTAAGCTGCATGGCACTCTCTCAGTCTCAGAAGGGTCAAGAATTGAGCTACTCAAATCTATGTTTCTATGGAGACCAGATATTTAAATTCTACGTGGTTATTTAGGTTATGGACTCCCTACACTGAGACCACGGAGAAGTAAAACGTCCTAGAAAAGGAGCTCAGATGGACTAAATAATAATAGCTTCCCATATCACCAATGCGCAGTTAATAGCTCGAAGGATATGTTAGTGAAACAAGAGTGCCTCCTGCAAATCTTTGAAGAGACACTGAACTGGCTGAGCAGGAAATGGTTGGCTACTAATAGCAGTTCTGGTGGTAAAAATCTGCCCAGGGCAGAAAGAGAGATCGTTAGTCACTTCACAGCCATCCCATGCTTTGAACAAGTCATCTTCATTTGCACAGAGCTGTGTGTCCAATACTGTATACATACAGGTCACCAAAATGATGCAGATGTGACTTTCTTCAGCATAAGAACATAAAAACGGCCATATTAGGTCAGACCAATGGTCCATCTAGCCCTGTAGTCTGTCTTCCAACAGTGGCCAATGCCAGGTGCTTCAGAGGAAATGAACAGAACAGGGCAATTATTGAGTGATTCATTCCCTGTCGTCCACTGCCAGCTTCTGGCAATCAGAGGTTTAGGGATACACAGAGCATGTGTTACTTCTCTGACCAGCTTGGCTAATAGCCATTGATGGACCTATCCTCCATGAGCTTACCTACCGGTAATTCTTTTTTTGAAACCAAGCTTGAAGCCCTATTTATCTTATTTCTGGTATGAAGGAAATTCCCCTCCCCTTGCCTCATGGGATGGGCTAGGGAATCCTGACTCTTAAAGAAAGATACAATGCAAATGCAAATCCTGGATTTGGATAATCCTAAACTTTGGCATCTGGCTCTGAGCTTCCCAGCTGGTCCTGATCTCTCTAATGGGCCAAGCCAAAACACCAGCCATAAACTTCCCACCTGGACTATGGAAAGTTCAACTCATACCACCCAACTTTCCAACCTGCCAATGTGTGACAAAATAAAGGAAAACAAAGATATTGATATTACTGACCTGGTTTGGAGGAACCTGATAGTCTGCTGACCAATAGAGGGTCATTCCCAAAGAATACACCAGCATCTGGCAAACAAGAACACGCAACCAACCAGTTATGAATTATATGTCAATAATTACAGAGAACTCACCTGGCAATGAGATCTCTGAAGCCGTGAGCCGTGATTGGGACTTTTAAAGCTGGACTGGATAGAGCACATGTACATGTACAATGGGACACAGCCCTGACTAGCAGAGAGATGGAATAGGTGGGACATAATAGATCTTCAGCTCTATGGGCCAGATTGTCTCCTATGCATGAAAACACATGCTGGGGATGGTTTGACAGGCTGGCGAGCCAGCAGCTGAGCCATGCTCTGGTCACTTAGGCACTAACTAGTTCCCCAGAGAAGTCCTGACTGAGGGGCGGAAGACAATTACCTAATCAGACAGTGGGCTGATGTGCTCAGGGGCTACTTATCCCAGCAGCTGAGAAGGTGGTTGTAAAGCACAAGAAGGAGGGGCAAAGGAAAGTGAGGGGCTAACAGGGGAAGCCAGGCCTGTGGCTGATGAGACTGCTTCCTCTCCTTGAAGACAGCGCTGAGGATTACAGTGCTGCACTAGGACTGTGATGGCAGCATGGTGGTAGGAGCATCAAAAAACACTCACAGAGGGGTTGGCAATCAAGAGGCATCCAAGAGTGTTTGTGAGTGATCCCAAGGCAGGAAAGGAGCCTCTGCACACCAGCTGGGGTCGCGAGCCACAGGGGTGCATAGATGCTGTTCGCCTTCCCCTGGCTGGTAGGATTCCTGGAGCACAGCACTGTCAGCGTCCCTCACCATAGCATCAGGCAGGACAAGATCTGGTGCATATTCCTGTCTTTGGAGTTAGGCCCCCACCCGCCAGGGAGCAATGCTGCTCTACAGCTTGCACAGGAGAAAGTGGGTCCGTTCACCTCTCTTTCTGTCCTTGCATAGCAGAAGATCTGGTCCCCATTGCTATATGTCTTTTTCCTCAGCTCTGCCATGGCCATTTCTTGCACTTCTAGCATCCTGAGGAGGTTTCCGTTCTGTTCTGCAGCCCTGACGTTATCCCTGTTTATTACCAGCTGTGATTCCATTTGCCAGCAGGCTGCCACAAGAACAAACCCGGTAAAGATGTCTATTAAAATGTTTATTAGCACCATCTGCTTCAGAGGGCCGGAGCTCAGTTTGCAAATCACCCCAGCAGAGCAAAGCTGCCAGAGACACCCATTTTGCAGGGTGTCTATTCAACAGTTATTAAGCAAAATCCGTTTGGAAGATTAGCACATTCCTGTCTCATGTTTATACAGACAAGCTGCTTTCAATTAGCCAGGTTTCATACAGTCATTGATTTAATAGGGGGACTTGACTTTAAGAGACTATTCCTCTCTAGCCTTACTCTAGGATCCCTCTTTGCCATGGAAGGATGGGAACCCAATCCGTATAGGGCTTCTGCATCTCCACCTAATGGCTCCCGGCCCCCCACAGCTCTGCCCAGCTCCCGGACAGCCCAGATCCAATGAAGCCAGTGGCTGCCTCTGGGACCTCCTCTTGAGCAGAGAGGTGCTTCAACTAGAACAGTCCTACAGTTTCTGACCCACACTGAATTAGCCCATCCTGCCATCAGCCCTCCTGCTCTTTCTATATACCCCAAAATGGCAGGGGGTCCTCTGTGGTAGAGAGTGCTGAGGAATAGGCTATCCATCCAACAGGGAGAGGTGAGATAGGCATGGAAGGACGCTCTGGATGTGAATCAAGGGAGCACTATCCTCCCACAGTATCTGGCATTAAAATGACCTTATTAGATAAAAGTTTTTTTTAAATGTTCCCTTCACAATATGTGTGTGGGGTGACTGGAATTGTAGGGGGTCACTTCTCAGATGGGATGAGGTGGCTGGTGCAAATCACTTTGGCCCATTTCCACCAGACTTGTGGGACCATGGGATGATGTTTGAGATTGCAGTAGAATCCCAAATGCCCCTTGATTTCAGGGGGATTCTAGGTTCCAGACAAACCTTTCTCGCAGCCTTAACTACAGTCTAACTTGGTTTTGTTCACTGCCCTTGTGAGAGGGAGTCCGATGTTAGATGCTGGGTCTGTTGTGCTGACACATTTGGACCGGAGTATTTTGCCTAACAAACTCCAAGGTACAATCAGGCTGTTCAAAAACCCTCACCTTTGTCAATCCAACATGCTTGTTTTTACTCTGTCCATGGAGCAGTTCTGGTGCCCTGAAAGGGGCAGCTTCTTGGTGAGACACATTGTCTTGGAAAGACAAACTTCCTCTGGCTGAAAGTACCATTGACCATGGGCAAATCACATGGATAAGTGGATCTGAAAAACAGGATCAGCAGGAAAGCAGGGTTAATATTCAGAGGGGTAGGAAAAACTAGCATAAGTTTCAGAGGGGTAGCCACATTAGTCTGGATCTGTAAAAGCAGCAAAGAGTCCTGTGGCACCTTATAGACTAACAGACGTATTGGAGCATGAGTTTTTGTGGGTGAATACCCACTTCGTCGGATGCATGTAGTGGAAATTTCCAGAGGCAGGTATAAATATGCAAGCAAGAGTGAGTCAGGCTAGAGATAACGAGGTTAGTTCAATCAGGGGGGATGAGGCCCTCTTCTAGCAGTTGAGGGGTGAACACCAAGGGACGAGAAACTGCTTTTGTAGCTGATAGCCATTCACAGCCTTTGTTTAATCCTGAGCTGATGGTGTCAAATTTGCAGA